TATTACTTTCAAAAGTACAATAATTATTATCAAATGCTTTCAGTCTACAAGTGTTACAGAAAAATTAAATTAAAATTATCTAATAGTGAACTATAACTGTAATGTACTTAAGAATCAAAAATATAATCACTTTTATAACACTTTATATTAATATTATGTTCAAATGGTTCTGTATATTCATTTTTAAACCGTCATATAAACATGTGAATTCATTGTATTTTAATTAAATTAGTAAAACTAAATTTATTTGAATAGTTGTGAACGCTATATTTGGATTTAAATAACTTTAACTAATGTCCCCATAAATATTAATAAATTTTATGGCTATTAAAAAAATATTTTCGGGGATAATATGAATAGTATTAATTCAATGATACTTCATTGAAAGTATGGAAACATTAATAAATAATGAATAATTTGACAATTAATTATTAAGAAAAAATTTCAAAATAGAAATAAGATTGAATCTTGAGCAAAAAATAAATACTTATAATGTATTTCGCAAATAATTAAAGTTTACGAGCGATTGAATTATTGAAAAATACTAACTTATCATTGCTTGTGTGCTATTAATATACAGTTAAGAAAAATATTTGTTTTCTCGGCTAACAATGTGCGACATTGAGGCACAAGACTGTCGTAAATGTGAGACAAAGCCATTAAACGCAGACATTAATGGCATTATTGGGAAGAAGACGATCCCGGAGTCCATCGAAAGCCATAATAACAACGAGGAGTTGACTGCAGACGCGGCGACCAAAAGGCTACGAGAATTGAGGGCTCGGAGGGAGAGGCGACACAAGACATTGATTGTCACAATACTATCGTTTGGCAACTTTTGTGTGGCCGCCGGCGTCTCAATTCAGGGCCCTTTCTTCCCAAAGGAAGCAGGTATTCATTCACGTCAACCACTAATCCTTTACTATATGCTACCTGTCCTTACAGTGCACTTTGCAGTCACAGTTATAGCGGTGTATAGTATGAATGTATTTTATAGTGCAGTATATTATAGGAATTTTTGTGATAAACATGTTATTTATTCATTGAATATCATAAATAACATATTTGGTGAAAATTTGAATGCTTAATTAGCGTAGAAAAATGAAAAGTGTATTTAAATGAAATAAATTTTCATATTAAATAATTGGGAAATTATCCAATAAACTTCACACATTTTGTCAATATTATATAATATGAATATTTTTGTAAACAATTTAGAAATTAATTTTTTAGAGACCTTGTCAACACTTGTGAGTTATGTAAACCTATGTTTGAATATAATATTTAGAAAATCCTTATCGACTCATAAAGTACACTTAAAGTGATGTTACAATAATCCTTATCAAAAATTAATCAAAAATTAGCAAATAATTAATTTTCTACATGAATTGCACGATTAATATCTCAGGAATAATTTTTATATAATAACTATAAAATAAAAACAAATTACACTGAAATTATCATTATCTAGATTAGAATAAATAAGTAAATACAATTTTATATAGGATACTATAGCTACAAAATGAGAAAATAAATTAATGATGAATATTGTATGAATTTGTATGAAAACAGAGGCTAAAGGTGCGACACCCATAGTATACTCATCCATATTCTCGGTCTACGAATTGGTGATGTTATTGACTTCTTTCAAATTCGGACAATTAGTGTCACGAATACCGGCGAACCTAATGTGCGGCTTTGGTCTGGCGTTGGCAGGCATTAGCACCGTTAGCTTCGGACTGTTAGACCACTTGCCCGATGGGCTACTATTTATAGTGCCGGCATATGTCATACGAATCATTGAATCATTGGGTGCCACAGCTTTCGCCACCAGTAGCTATTCACTGATAACCTACCGGTTCGCCGACACCACCGCAACTATGTTCTCCATTATGGAGACCTGTTTCGGTTTAGGTCTCATTGTTGGTCCCGTATTAGGCGGCGCTCTCTACGAGTGGGGCGGATATACCGTACCGTTTCTGGTGTTGGGCGTACTATTGACTCTGAGCGCAGCCCTTATACTCATGTTTTTGACCACAAATCAAATCCAATCCAAAGACTATAACAGAGACAAAGAGATCGACATTAATAGCAATCAACAAGTGATTAGTGTTTCAAAGTTTCTCTTAAATCCAATTATAATATTGGATTCGTTTGTAATCCTCACGGCTTTGAGTCTAATTGGATTCAATGCGTCCACATTAGAGCCACACATCCGGCACTTCCAGTTGTCACCGCTGATGACCGGCATTATCTTCGTCACCCTCGGCCTCATGTACGCCATCACTGCACCAGTTTTGGGCAAATTGTGTGATATATTCAACCATAACTTGACTCTATTCTCCATAATCGGTACACTATTATGTTTGGCCGGTTTAGCACTGATAGGACCGTTGCCCGGCTTAGGGCTCGACACCAGCCTATGGCTCGTTATACTATCGCTGTTTCTGTTCGGCGTGGGAACGGCTGCCAAACAAGTGAGCGGTTACTCACATGCACTCAACTATTGCATCTCAAACCGCGGGTTTGGCAAAAACAAGAGCACCTATGGCTTGGTGTCCGGCCTATTCTTCTCGTGCATATCTTTAGGCGGTTTTATGGGCCCCACAATCGCCGGGGTCTTCGTCCAGAACTTCGACTTCAAGTTCGCCACTCTTGTCATGTTTGCCATCGAAGTCATCCTATTTGTGGTCCTTTTATTTTGTTGTATCACTAAAAGGACTAAAGTTTTATGATTATAGATATTGCGCTATATAGTTAATAAATTGCTCAATTAAATTTAATTTGTATTTTAATCTCAAATAAAGTTGTAAAAAGTTTTTTCTGTATAATTGAATTCAATTGTGTAGTGATTAGCCATCTGTTGAGTGGTTATTATACTGAAATGCAAACCAATAACTCATATGAGTGTCAATAGGAGTCACTGGTAATGATAAAGCATTTACATTACGTCAATATTTACAGGATATTATAAGTCAAACAAATATGCCGTTCACTGCAATACAAGGGAGTTATTTGTAAAGTAATTGCCTTCAACACCACATAATAGCCCACAAAAGGGGCAGAAATGGGAATCCCAGCCCCGATAAGTCTGTAACGTTGTATGTGTTACGTTGACTCATATGACTCATTGGGTGTTGTTTTAGGCTGTAGTTTGCCATCAGATAAGAGATTGTGATTTGAATTGTGTCCACAATTTAATTGTATTGACTCTTGGGATCAGTTACCACATCACCGACAATGCCTTCATATCACTCGACACTCGTATCAAATAAATCGATTGCAAACATATCTTTGCTCACCTTTCGGACCAAATTCAGGGGACCCGTCGTGACACTCAATTCAGACCACTGTTTGTCCATTTGATCCACACTTTGATCAACCATTTAATGTCTTTGTTTTGTTTGCGTGTCTTGTAGTGGGAAAAGACGACTTGAATGGCGTAGACATCGTCGATGAGGCCATACTTTACTTTAAGGCCAACGTCTTCTTCTTCCACACTTTGATCAACCATTTAATGTCTTTGTTTTGTTTGCGTGTCTTGTAGTGGGAAAAGACGACTTGAATGGCGTAGACATCGTCGATGAGGCCATACTTTACTTTAAGGCCAACGTCTTCTTCAGTTCGTACGAAATCCAAGTAATATTTCTCACCATTTGGTGTCTCATCGATGGTTAATGTCTTAAGAGTACTAACGAAGTATTTGTGTTGTCTTTCAGAGTGATGCCGACCGTCTCATCATTTATTTGACACTTTATATCATTGAATGTCTTAAGAAGATCCAAAGGGTTTGTCAATTGATTGCCAGTGTCTTGAGATGTGACCCATGAGTGTGTGGTATGTCTTTGCAGTGCAATAACAAGAACGCTGCGCTCCAAGAGTTGGCTCAGTTGGCGATCAGTCGCTTCGACATCCCGGGTGACCCCAAGTTCCCACTCAACTCCGTGTTCCAGAAGCCCAAGAATGGTGATGAAGCAGGTCTGCCACCCGTATCACCTGTGAAGTGGTCATATGATTAGTAATTGATGTGTTTGTGTGTGTCTTAGAGCTGATGCGGTCATACATCCAACAGTTGCGACAGGAATGCGGTCAACGGTTAGCGAGCCGTGTGTTTGACACCGACAACGGGCCGCCCTCTAAGTGGTGGACCTGTTTTGCCAAAAGGAAGTTCATGAACATCAACCTCTCGGGACCCGGCAATTGATTCCTACCATTCATACGATAATTAAATTAATTTCCAATTATTGACACTTTTGTCACTGATATCTAGTATTTAATCTGTTAGTGAAACTAATTTTATATATTATTCCATTAAATGAGTATTTATTGAAATGTTTTTAATTATGGTTATAATTAAGAATGTTTTTTATATTGATTCCAATTGTTATGATCAAGATCACAAATTGAATTTATATTTACACCTCTTTTAAACATTACTTTTTACTCGCAATTCAAGTTTGATTATTGAAATTATAATAAATTCTATATTCTATTGAATTTTGTTGTTTATTTCAAATGATATGATTTATGAACAAAATTATTACAAATTTAAGTCTTAAGAAGTGGTACAAGAATTATGGTATAGTTACCGGAGTTACCGGAGTTACCGGTAGAGTTAAGTATAGTTACCGGTATGTTTTATGGTACTGTAGAGTAATTTTATGCAATATTACGATTGGTCATTGTCTAATTTTTAATTACTGTAATACAGTATCGGTGTATTTTTAAATTATTACTTTTTATTTAACCACAAATTTAATATCAAGAATTATACTGCAGTGAGGATTATACCAGTACTGTATACCGGTTATTAATAATGTCCCGGAAATGAGCCTCATTTGATTCTCATCAGGAAATTAATTGCAGAACTTATCTGCCGTTTCATTGAATCAATCAATACTAGACTTCAATTAATTTCAACATTATTCATAAGAATTATTTAGTCTGCACTCAATTTTGCTAAATAAAATGTTTACAACACTTTTGATGAACTTATCAATCCTAATTCTATAAATTAAATAAACTTTTAATTATTAATTTACACTGTAAATGTTACATGTATATTGGAAATAGTTTATATAAACTACAATTACTAATCAAAATTAAGTTATGTTATTAATATAATAAAATATTGTACAATCACGATAGGATTATAAAGTATTAAATAATATTAATTCCGTATGTGATTAAACTTTTAAACCAACATTTTTGTTCAAAACTATTAAACATTTTTCTTATTTTGACAATTATACAGTACTGCTCTCAAAAAAATATTTGTATTGAAATTGAAATTGAAATTCAAACGATAAGTTTATTTGCAAATACTTGTGACTGTCGTATAACTTGACTTTATAAACCATTTTTAATAAACAAGTCTCTCAGCTATCCGTAAAAACTTAATAAACTATATTACTTATTATGAAAATCTAGTGAAAGTTGTGTTCCTATGAAATTGAAAAAAAACTTGAATACCTGTTCACCTAATTCTGTGCCACTCATTAACCCATAGCCCAAATAGCGCCGTAAGCAACAAAAAATAAAGGTCTCTCAACACTAAACCATAGGAAGCTATTCGTGCAAAATATCTCAAATTTTAAAGTTGTATTTCGCTGTATATGTGGTGTTAGTTAACATTAACTGTGATTTAATACCTAATATGAGGGCATGTTTTTACTCTCGATTTCAGTCTCCACTTCACTCTCCCTTTCCTATGGAGAGAGAGATATACTCTTCTAATCTAAATCTCACTCTTGTTTTCCATACAAAATGAAAGTGAAATGATTTTTATTAACTATTTGATTGTGTCTTTTTTGTCTACAAATATGTGAATATCTGTTTAAAACAATTGTTTTCACTAAAAATGCAGTTTTTAACTGCATTTTTGAATGTGTGATGTGTTTGTTAACAAATTCCTAATACACTATCTGTTTTGTATGTGAACTCAAATTTGTGTTTTTGTTTTAATATAAAAAAAATGTGAATAAATTTCCGGATTTTATTTTCATTAATGCTTTTATCGATGCTATTATGATAACTGCTATGCAATTAATACTTCCCTCTAAATATGGTTTGAATTTACGATAATTTTGTATATTACTTATTTTACTGTATATTTATTATCTATCATGCTAATATTTAGTCCTTTAATTTAAATAAAGTAAAAATCATATATAATTTTATTGCCTATACTAATCGCACTGTTTAGTTAAATATATTTTGATAAAATTTATATCAATTTAATGTCAATTTCATGATATTTTGTTGTATTATAAATGAAACTTTGAATTATAAAAGTAATGCTAATATTTCTGATCTACTATTATATTATATTTTACTTCTCACTTTACATTATTTTTAATACAAAATAACAAACACACCATAAATTAAAATAATATTTACTATTAAAACAAAAATTAAATTCAAAACTATTTACAAAATATCACAAACATATCCAAAAAATTAAATAATATTTACGATTATCACGATTAAAACAAAAATTTCTAAAACTATTTACAAAACATTTGTAAAATATTAAAAACAACACAGAATTTTCAAAGTACCCTGACAAAAACAATACATAAAAATAATAGGATATCTCCAACCTAGATTATTTGACAGCAACCGTAACGCATGTGTAAACCCATTGCCAAACACCACAACACATACATTCAAGTCATGCAATACCTCTGCCATAGG